ACTTTGAACTGTTGAGAGTTAGAAACTTATACCAAAGGAAGCTGAAATGTGGAATAAGCTACTAGCCCCCAACTCAGCACAGTAGCCCCCAACCCATGGTCAATCTGCCTCGTCTATGTCCTGTCCACTTCCTTCACCTGCATCAATAAACAAATATGTCATAAATATTTCAGTAGGCATCTCTCAAAGGTAAACACTACCTTTTAGTATTACCACAATAATTTTCATTATGCCTAAAAGTAATATTCATATAGGAATATTTTAAAAGGAGAAAAGAAATGACCTTGAAACATTTGCAAATGTGTTAGCACTTACATTTTTTTCTGTGTTCTCTAGCATTTGACCTCAAGCATGTTGGTATTTTCTAAACATGATGTCTTGGGACTTTTCAGGGTTTCATGTTGTGGCTGAAGCTCTGGGCTGCTGTCTGTCCCTGTTCTAAGAGGGACAAAGGGCATTTCCTTCAACTGGACTGTATTTGCATGTTCAGGGTGATTCCCCAGAGCCTCTTCTAGCTTCTAAAGCTTCTATTCATTCAGTAAATATTTGCTGAGAGTCACAGTGTGCCTATCACTGCTGGCTGCTGCAGTTAGTGTGGGAAAGAAGACAGATGAGGCCTAGATGTCTTGGGACTAATGGCTTCCGGAGAGCAGGCCTCTGATCCTAAGGACACCCACAGTCACTCAGGCATGGCTGTGGTCATGGAGAGAATGGGCATGAGGAGCCTAACTTCGGAAGGGTGAAGGAAGTCACTCTGGAAGAAGGGACATCTCAGCCTCGCAGTGTGGCAGAGGGAAACACCTTGAGAGTGGCTTGAGGAAAAGGAGTTGGTAGGAGAATGGGGTTAGAGGAGCATGATGGTGGACGGAGGTGAGGCGGAGGAGCCCCTATCTCTGACCTTCCTCTTCCAAATGGTTCTGGCACTTGAGGCCTGGGCTCCCGGCTTCCCTTCCCCTTTAAACTCTGGAATGCCACATAGCCATGTGAGGTCCAATTCCCTGCTTTCTTTTGCTGGCTCAGAGGTGGGGTGGTTGGAGGAGTTCACATTTGGAAAGACAGAGAGAGGAACCTGAGTGTTCACCCCAGATGAACCAATGACATTTACACAGTAGGTTTGTGAGGACTAAAGGAAATAAAAAATTCCTTTAGTGTAATAAAAATCACTGTGGAGCAAACATTTTCCTCCTTCTCTTTCTTTGTGCATGCCCTTCCAGCCTTTCCCTGCATGGTCCAGTGTTCCCCTAAGGAACACCATGCCACTAGCCCTGCTTCTCAGCAGAGCCCTGTGACCATAACCTTTTCTGGAAGTCTTATTTAGATGACATTTTAATAATATTTACTTTTAGTTTCCTATGGGAAATGAGATAAAGGTGGCCCAGGGAGATGGCTTAATGGTTAAGAATGTGTTCTGCTCTTGCAGAGGACCTGAGTTCAGTCCCCAGCATCCTTATTGGGTGGTTCACAACTGCCTGCAATTCTAGCTCCAGGGGATCTGACACCCTGTGGGTTCTGTGGACACCTGTGCTCACATGTACATGTACCCCTACACAGATACACACATATACAGATAACTAAAAATCTTTAAAACTAATATTTTATTTTTTTGAGAATTTGATACAATGTATTTGTATCGTACATGTATGTATCATCAATGTATTGTATCATTTCCCCAACTCCTCCCTACCCACCCCTCACTTCTTTGTACACTGAATTTCATGTCCTCCTTTATTAAAAAAATGTCCAGTCCAGTTTGTGCTGTCCAAATATTCTTGGGTGTGGGGCTGTCCCTTGGAGTGTGGTCAGCCTAGCAGGGGTCACACCCTTAAAGAAAACGGACTCTTTCAGCAGTTATCAAATGCTAATAGTTCCAGCTAGGGGTGGGACTTTGTGTCCACCCCCAAAATAAATCTTTTAAAAAGTTTACATAAAAATGATTCAGCAACAACAACAACAACAACAACAGGCCATAGTACAAAGGGATGCAGAGGAAAAGATGACATTCTGTTCCCACTGAGGAGATTGTCACCAAAGGTTTGGATTGTATCGTTGTAGAAATTTTCTTTCTTGAGTTTTTGTTTTTGTTTTTGCTTTTTGAGACAGGGTTTGTCTGTGGAGTCTTGGCTGTCCTAGAACTTGCTCTGTAGACCAGGCTGGCCTTGAATTCATAGAGATCTATCTGCCTCTGCCTCCCAAGTGCTGGAATTAAAGGTGTGTACCACTATGCCCCGCAGAGAAATTTTCCACACACATAACGAAAACCAGAGTGTAAAATTTGTTTTGTTTTTTCCCCCACTGAGTGTATCTTAGGTATGTTTTAGTGCATATAAATCTTTCTCTTTGTTGGGAAAGTGGCTCACTCTGTAGCCCAAGCAGGCCTGAACTCACTATGCAACCACAATTAGTCTCAAACTTATGGCAATCCCCCTGCCTCAGACTCTTCAGCACTGGGACTGTAGGCCTGACCCTGTCCTGGCATTGTCCTCATCTGCCAGGTGGGATTCTCTGTGTCTGGCCACCAGTCCTCTGGGCACCTTGCTGTGCTATGTGTCTCATCGAGTCCTTTGTCATCAGTAGCCTGTTTTTCAGGAACTGGGTGGGGTCCAGAGCTGGAAGAACAGCTTGTGTTTCCTGGTCTGGGGGGAGTTTCATTGGAGCTTTTCCTTTTCCTAATTACGAGCCTAGCAAATTGGGGATATCTGAATGTCAGTGTGTCACTCCACCATGGACTATTTAGCAGCCCAGTCGTTGAAACTGACAAACAAATTTCAAGGGTAGTAGCGGCACCCATGGGATCTGGGTACTTGGGACACATATTCAAGCTGTTACCAGGAGCCAAACACCAGGTGTCCCAGATCCCCACATCACTTCCCAAGTTTGTACAGAATAGTAAAAAGCATCGGGTGTGTTTCTTCCCTTCTTTAATAGTCCTTATGGTCAAAGTACTCACAGATAATGCAGAGGATGAAGAGAAAAAAAAAGAAAGTCTCCCTTCTGTTGTCCAGCATCTTTAACTTGTTTCCCTGTTCCCTCCTCAGAAGTGATTAACAATTGGTCATGAATCTTTCTAGGCTTTTTCTTTTTTTTATTTTACAGACTTTGAATGTTCTCGGTAGTCATTATTTTGTGACAAATAATTTAAAATGCAATTTACAGTTTTGTGTTTCAAAAAGTCTTCTGGAAACCTGAGAAAAGTCTACAAAAAGGTGATTGAAAAAGTTGGTATAGAATCCAGTGTGATGGTGCATACCTTAATCCCAGCACTTGGGAGACAGAGGCAGGTAGATCTCAGTGAATTCAGCCTGCTCTACATAGTGAATTCCAGTTCAGCTGAGGTTATGTAGTGAGACCCTGTCCCCAAAACAAAAGAGAAAGAGATGATAGAGGGGAGTTGCCTGATGGCATAGTTCTGTGGTGTAGACTAAATCCTGGGTCAATTCCAGGGACAGCTGCGACGAAGCCACTTGTCTATAAAGTCTCAGGCTGGGTCTTGTTTTCTTTCTCTCTTTTCTTCTTTAAAAAAAATATTCTTTGTTACCATTTTTTATTCTTTGTGTCCCCCACCCTCTCTCTCTCTGTGTGTATGTGTGTGTGTTTGTATATGTGTGCGTGCGTGTGCGTGCTTGAGTGCGCTGGCGCCTGTGTGCCTGCTAGTGAACCACAGTGCCCATGTGGAGATCAGAAAACAACTTGTGTAGGCGTCAGTTCTCTCCTTCCACCATGTAGAACCCGATGATCAAACTCAGGTCATTGAGCTTGGTGGCAAGAACTTTATTGGTTGAGCCATTTCACCAGTCCTTGTCCCTTTCCTCTGTCTCTGTCTCTCTCCCCTGTTTTTTCTTGCTTTCCCTCATCTTTATCCCTTTCATGTTTGAGGAGGTCCCTACTCTGTCTCCCCACATCTAACAAACCTTCAGTATGAGGGGCTGTCTTAACACCCACAGGATTGGCTTAAATGTGAATGTGCCGTCACACACAAGCTATTTAGCCCCTTTGAACTTCAGTGCCCTCAGCTATGAGGTAGACAGGAAAAAACTCCATGTTGGTGAGTGACTGCGAACACTAAACATTCCAAGGAATTTTCTTGGTGGTCAGAAAGCACTTTGTTTTTTTCTTTTCCTGCTTCCTGAAGCCTTCATCCTACAAAGTTGTGTAGGATTTGGACGTGGTCCTTTTGATTGCAGCATTTTGATGATTCAGGATTTAACTGCAGGGTCAAAGACCAGCTAAGCAGAGTGAGAAGATGCTTCGGGGCTGGAGTCACACCATCTCTGCCTGGCTTTTCAGAAATATTTCATAAACGGACATGACAGGTCGTGTGTCATTGCCACCTCTTTCCTTCAGAGCCTGGCTGCAGGGTCAGCCCTGCCCTCATAGAACAGTTTCACTACCAGGTGACAGTCAACCTCAACTTCTGCATTTCAGGCCATGAGGTTGGTGAGGCAGTTAAAGCCATCAGAGGAACTGGTATAAGGCAGAAATCAGTGTCACCTCAGTGTAGGGTTTCATGACACAATTCCTCTGGCATCTTTCTGAGAATTAGAAATGGATGTCCCCTTGGGAAAATATGGTATGAAGGCTCTTACTAGTGAGGACAGTGAACCAGGACTTGATAGAAGTGGGCAGTTGGCCGGGCAGTGGTGGTGCATGCCTTTAGTCCCAGCACTGAGGCAGAGGCCGGGCGGATCACTGTGAGTTCGAGACTAGCCTGGTCTCCAAAGCTACACAAAGAAACCCTGTCTCAAAAAACCAAAATAAATAAATAAATAATAAAAAATTTAAGAAGTGAGTAGTCAATGCTTTCTCCAGGGTGCAGGTAGCCCCAGCCCATGCCAGGAACAGTGTTATCAGCAGATGCCAAACTGGCCTGCTGCCCCCTTGCTTCTTCGGCTGCCCAGGTACCCAGGGCCAGGCACAGCATGCTTAATAATACATGGGTGTCCAGTATGATTGCTATCTTCATGAGACTTATACTCTTTTTCTCATTTCCTGCCTTCTCCTAGCCTCCAGAACTAAGCAACGGAGAACCTACCAGGAAGCTTCCTCAGGGTGTTGTCTATGGTGTGGTGCGAAGATCGGATCCCAACCAGCAGAAGGAAATGGTTGTATATGGCTGGTCCACCAATCAACTGAAAGAAGAGATGAACTACATCAAAGATGTGAGTCATTCAGGGATGTTTTGTATTTCTGTTCTCTGAAGCAGCTAGGTGGGTGGGGTGGGAAGCGTGGATGGGGATGTAAGTAGGCATTTTGAAAGTCTTACTTGGGATGGAAGTGTTTCTCCATTTCTGTGTGGTGATGCTAAAGGGACAGGTATAATTCTTCAGCAAGCTTCTCTTGGGTGGCTGTTACTTACTGGCAGATGATCATGACCCAGGGCGCTGCTGGGTGTGTTTGGAGGCTCTTGGGTGGTTTGGAATAGGATACCAGACACACATAATGTAAGTGTTTGGACAACTGTTTAAATGTGGGTGTTGCTGGATACTCATAAGAGAGCCACCAACCAACTCAGAAAGAGATGTGTCTTCCCTGGAGTTGAGTCTGGAGCAGGGCACAACTGGGCTCTGGGTCTGGTTCTCTGTTTTTGGACTTTTTCTTTCTTCAGCCTCAAGATTGTCTCTTCTATACATATGACAGTGTTTGGAGTATTTGCCCTGACCCCAGTAGGCTTCCCCTTACATGGCAGCTTGGCTAGGGATGGTCACATACCCCATTCCACACCAATTACTGACAAGGAACTTAGGCAGACTTGGCAGGTTCACACTAATGATTTGGATTGAAATAAATTTTGGGAAGTCAACTACAATATACAAGGTACAGTCTATGTGAATTGATGCAATTTCTTTGTACTTCATGTATTGCCTTGTATCTTTTAAGCTGAGATAGTTTGGGAGAAGCATACAAAGAAGAAGAAAATTGGCCATCTTTCACCATTCAGTCTCTTCTGTGGTTAACATTTTGGATCATTTTCTTCAAATACTTTGATAGCTTCCTGTCTGTCTCTTTTTTGTGATACCCAGTGTCCCCTCTGTCCACACTAATCTGACTGATGCTGCTAAGATCAAAGCAGACTAGTTAGAAGAGAGAAGAAATGATGCCTATGGGCTCCAGACGCAGACCCACAGCTCAGTGCCAGAGGAAGCAAATGTTGGCAACAGGCTAGAGAAGTCCCCGGGCCTGTGAGCTCATTGCTTTGCTTCCATATCAGACCCAGGTTCCTCTTAGTGTGGTCTTTTGTTCTCTCTAGGCCTCAGTTTATTCATCTATAGGTGGGCTGTCATCCCTGAAGTCAAAGCCTCTAGCTTTGTGAGGCTCATTTGACTTGGGGCAGATGTTGTGCAAAGCCATGTTGTCTTAACTATTGCATGAGTGTTGTTTTTTAATAACAAATACATGGGCTGGGAGATGGTGCAGTTCTTAATGTGCCTACTGCATAAGCATGAGGATCCAAGAGTTCAGATCCCCAGTGTCAGGTTAAAAACTGTGTGGTTGCTGGCATCTATAACTCTAGCGCTGGTGGGGCAGACACAGGATGATTCTTGGAGCTCACTGGCCAGTCACTGTAGCTGAATATGTGAGCTCCAAATTCAGTGAGAGACCCTATCTCAAAAAATAAGGTGGAGAATGACCAAGAAACATACCTAATGTTAACTTTTGACCTCCATACGCGCGCGCACACACACACACACACACACACACACACACACACACACACGTGTATACACACACACACACACACACGTACACACACCCTTTTACACATACAGGCATCACCCACAAGAACAGGTACATACACCACACATACAAACTCACATGCACATGTGCACATGAGTACACACACATACAAACATACATACACACAATGTTTTACAACCACCAGTCTTGAGCACCCAGTTATCTGGCCTCTCAAAGATAGTTTTTTTTAAATCGTGAGGAATGTTGGATCCCAGATTATTTTTTTATATAACTTATTTTTATTTTATATGCATTAGTGTTTTGCCTGCATTTATGTCAATGGGAGGGTGTCAGAAGCCCTCGAACTGGAGTTACAGACAGGTATGAGCTTTGATGTGGGTGCTGGGAATTGAACCCAGGTCCTCTGGAAGAACAGCCAATGCTCTTAACTGCTGAATCATCTCTCTGGCCTCCAGATTGTTTTTTCTTTTTTTTTTCAGTGCAGACTTTCTCAAGGAACTGTTTAGACTGTCTTCATTTACATGCTCCATATCGGTTGGGATTGCTGTAGAGATTTTAGAGGTAAACCTTCTAAGTAGAGCTGAGACTCCCAAATTGCCCAAGACAAATACGGCAGGTCCAGGCTAATCCTCAGCTATAAATGGCATGCCCTGAAATCAGAGAACTGGTTCTGACCCAAAATTCACACCCTCCACTGTGATCTGCAATACAAAGTTAATTTCTAGGTCCACCTTCAATGGCTGGTATCAGATCCATCCCAGCCTGCTCATTCCTCAGTGTGTTTATGAGTTTGTTGCCCTTGCTCCCTGATGGGAGACGCCTTGGCCTTGTTGGCTTCCTACACTCGTCAGTAGGAGCAACACCCATCTCAAGAGTCTGCCATTCACCTCTGGTGACAGCACAAGAGCCACGTGGGGTGATAGAGTTATTTACTCCCTAGAATGAAGGGTCATGCTTTGAGACTAATTTCCCAGTTGTTTGTGGTCACTGGGAAGAAAGTGGACAATTAGAACTCATGTGGGTAGGGGCTGGAGAGATGTCTTAGGGGTTAAGAGTTCCTACTAATTAAGTAGGACCCAAGTTTGATTCCCAGCACCTACCCATGTCAGGCAGCTCACATGTATCTGTAAAGGCAGTTCTAAGAGACCTTCACCTTCTTCTGGCTTCTCTTGGCGCCCATGAACACACACACACACACACACACACACACACACACACACACACACACTTAAAAAAATAAAATAAATCTTTAAAAACACCTCATCTGGGGAATGCTTGAGGTCTTGCCTCTTCTCTTCCAACTCTCCATTCTATCCATTCTAAAACAAAATGTAACTCGTGTTAGCATTCTTGCCTAGCATGCTTAAGGCCTTGAGTTCAAATCCCTAGTACAAGAAAGAGAAAACAAAAGTTCCAAAGCAAAACAAGGTGTTTCTTACACAAATATACCTTCAGAATCAAGTCTTCCAGCACTGTTCTGAAACATTTGCACTCAAACCAGACTGCTTCCATCCATTTGTAAGCTCAACAGCCTGGAGTTTGCCTTGAGGGAGCCACCTCCAGACTTCTTGATCTGTTGGGAGACTCTTGAGAACTTTACCAGGCATCTAAGGATACCAGAAGATGGGGAGACAGGGTTGTGTATCAGCTTCCCACTTAACAATCTTCTGATAGTCACCCCAGTCCAGACTTGCACAGTGCCTGTGTGAGTGAGGAGCTGGGGACCACTTTCCTCTTTGTTACACCCAGTGTGTGTTCTGTTGGTAATTACTGAGAAACTAACATTGAGTTTATGGCCCTTTCAGTCCTCATGTTTTTCCACCTTGCATTCTAGACATTTAATTGCTTTTTGGCATTTGGAGCAGAGAGAGAGAGAGAGAGAGAGAGAGAGAGAGAGAGAGAGA